TTTAATTAAAATTAATTGTAGTAAAAGTTATAAATAAATTTTTCAATAAAATTGAAAATTAAATAATTCAAAGTATAAAAATATTAAAACATTTTAAAAGGGAATTAATAAAATAAAAATAAACATAAAATGCAAAAAGTAGTAAATTGAAAAAATTAAGGCATATATTAAAGAGATTACAAAATTAAAATAGTGATATGAAACTTATAAAATAAAAAAGTGATAATAATTTTAGATAAAAATTACAGATGTCATATAACAAACATTGTAATTACAAAAAAAATTTAAATTAAGATAAATAAAATATATATAATAAAATATAACCTTATAAAATATATATAAAAAAATTGTTTCTGACTATTAATGATCATTAAAAACGTATATAGTGATGATATACAAAATATGTCTATAAAAATAAATAAATTTAATATCTTTTTTTTATATACTCGTATCAATATATGGTTAAGCGAACAGCTGTCATATCTATCATGAGATTATAACCACTTTATTTATAGCTTTTATTTATTCAGATAAATTTAAGAGACTATTAACATGAATAGTAAAATAGATTTTATATAGCGCAGTATATACCATTGCCCTTTATAACTTATAATAACTATAATCGTTTGCTGCTTCATTCTATATTGGTCTATATTGCTTCATTGTATTGTCAATGCTTGTCCCGATGGTTAATATATCGCAAGTACAACTAAAGACAAGTTTTAGATTTGGGCAGTTTGGAAGTTTGGGCATGTATAGAAAAATTATTTATTGATAAACCTAATCTACGGCAGCTGACTTTCATGCTACGAGTACCTTTTCGTTGAACGAGAAGGCAATCTTTTTAAGGAGATGAAACATCGTCAGCGTCAAGTACCTAAAATATTTTAGGCACCATTGCACTTATGTACCAATATCATTATAAGAAATTGTCTATTTCGGTTCAATTAGTGTAGCACTATTTCACTTATAGCATGATCAATACAAACCTATTATTAGAATTTCATCATATATTCAATATTTTGAAAATCTATAAAAGAGCTA